TTTTATATTGTGTTGTTGCTGCTATAAATATACTAGAATATCAATGAAATTTCTAGTTAGAATGTTATACTCTTCTCCATTTTCGTTTATGTTCTTCCAGATTTTCTCTCCATTTCTTTGTAAAAAACTCAACACGAACAATATTAAGATTAGTAAGGAGAAGGAGTTTTTTTTTGGGATGAACAAGTCAAATCGATAAATCCAATCTAAATATATTGAAAACTCAAATCCCTTGAATATTAGTACTAGTACAAAAATAATCCGGCTGCTAAAAAAAAAAAAAAAACTACACTACACTCCTATTATTATTATTATGATGATGATGTAAAACAACAGTCTAAACAGCAACAAGGAAAATTAATCTGACCTCAGGTTGCAAAGCATGCAATCCAAGATCCTGGACCACACACGGCGTGCACGCGGGCGGATCCTATTTCTATATCCTCTCGATCCCCTAACAAGACCCTCCATCGTTTCCACAAACAGATTCAAGTTCCTCACAGGAGGAAAACACAGAGTCAGTGGCATGACCGAGAAAGCAATTGTGAACAAAAACAGCAACATCGATTTGCACACTTAGTTTTGAAGATGGCTAAGTCGGGGGAGACAGACGGTAGCTTTATATTCAAAATAATGGGATGTTTGTCTACAAAAAAACTCTCTGGCTTTTTTGGCTTTGGCTGGAGAAAAGAATTGAGAGAGAGAGCAAAAGTTCTGAAGCTTTGAAGAAGTTTTTGAATTTTTTCATTTTCCTTTTTATTACTACTACTGCTACTACTTAAAGTTGAATTCAGGGGACTGGTAGTTGGGAATAAGATGCTGGGGTAGGGGTCATCACTATCCCTTACCACACTTCAGGGGTGATGTTATATCAAATAATTATGGTGAACGCATTAAATATTGTGTATTTAATTTCTTTAATTTTATTAGTTTAAAAATATTAAGGTGTTTAAAAATATTATTTAATAATTTAATTTTAAATTTATTAGATAATCAATATTACTTATTTTATTTATTACATTATTTAATAATTATAACTATTAATTATTTTTTTATACATATAACTATTAATTATTATTGCACCTGGCCCTGGCCCTTGCGGTCTAATGGCAATAGCCACCTGGTGCATTCCCCCTCTCCAACTGGGTTCGAAACCCGCTCCTTGCAAATATATTAAAAAAAAAAAATAACTATTAATTATTATTAAAATTGGATACAATTGTATTATGATGCATGACCCTAGGAATTCCTAAGACGGCAATAATCAGGACCCACCCTCATGGCCTCATGTCATCCCTCAACAATTCTTTTTTTTTTGGGTACAAGGCAATTATAGGGGAAAGGAGAAATGGGACAATCTATGGGCTGGAGAAGAAGTACCAATAATTATAGGTTAAGTTTTAATGACTTATAGGTTAAATATAAATATTTAAAATTCCACCAAAAAATATATAAATATTTAAATAATTAATGGATTTAAATTTTTAATCGATTGAATTTAAGAACTAAAAATTGAAAACGAACCATTAGACTTGAGAGGACCGATTCTTTGTGCCTCAACAATTCAATCCTAGCTTCTAGAGTACTTTTTATTTAATATATATTAAAAATATTGAATACAATCCACACTATATTAAATTATATAATTTATATTATTAAATAAAGATAAGATTTTGAG